AAAACTCATGGGTGGTAAGGAGAGATTCAGAGGACACTTGTGTCCCCCAGACCAATGCTATTAACACTGCAGACACCATAGTGGGCCTGTGGCTCCTTGTGCCCTGTGTATTTTGCACCCTGTGGATCTTCTCAAACCCTTTCTTCAGTTGGGGCTGGGCACAGCCCATGCACACACATGGCCAGCATCTGCGTCTGGAGCATGGGTGAATGCCACTGGATGACACCAGGGGAAAAATTTCCCTTTTTTGCTCTGCCTGTTTATTTCTCTTGTAATGATTCTTTCCTAATAAGAGTCTTGCCCAATGCCTGCCTGGTTCTGCAGCCATATAGGAGATGCTAGTATTTACTAGGTATTTCCAATTAGTTGTTATTCATGTCATCTGCCAAGTCTCTTTGTTCCTGGGAACTGAGAAATTTAAAAATAATCTGTCTACCGTTTTGGACATTGAGTGACTGATTTAATGACTTGGTGTTTCGCATGTATTTTGAGGTGGTGGAAGATTGCACTGTCATGGTAGAGGCTCAGAAGGGACTTAGAAACCATTCACCTCTTATGACTTCTCACATCCTCGTGCATTGTGTCCTGTGTTCTTACTCCTTGGGGGGAGGTGACCACATGAGGAAGAATGTGGTGGAAGGAATTTCCCTGTATATATTTAGAGTAAACTCATGGACCAGTACCGGCATAGAAGATGCAGAGGTAATGCCCCATGCTTCAGGGCTTCTGGTTCTTGAGACATCATGTATTCTCCACCCCACCCCGCAAAGTTCATGGCAGACAGGTAGTAAATAATTGCCTTATTAAGGTAAGTGCACAGGTATAGGTCAGGATTCTGGAACACTGGCCATTATAGATTATCTCAAGGCTGACTTAAAGGGATCATTTGGAGGGAAGGCTACCTTGGTACATCATTGTATCATCTTGCATTCCATTTGAAAGAAAACGATTGAGGTCACTCTTTTTATTCCATTTCTAGGCAACTCTGAGATCATTCTTTTCCTATATATTTTTTTAAAAGATTTATTTATTTATTCGTACAGAACTGGGGTACAGGCCAGAGATGCGGAGGGTGAGAGGATTCACCAGAGACAGAGGGGGGTACAGAACAGGCAGATCGACAAAGTACACTGCTGAGGGGAGCGGAGGGCGGGTCAGGAGAGGTCTGCCTCGCCATGTGGATCTCCTCTGAGGCAGGCGGGGAATTGAACTCATGCGGAAGTGGCTTAAGTTTCTTTGTGCTGTGCTTTAACCCGCTGCGCCACCAGGGAGGGCCTCTTTTCCTATATTTTGTTAAGAAGTGTTAACATTTTTTCAATTTAGTCCTTTCCAAATCTACCACAAACTGCATGCATTTATCGTTTTTGATTGCTAAGTAGTATTTCATTGCCTATAATTACCATATTTTGATATTCTAATCTGTTTTTAGGCACTTAGGTTGTTTCTGTAGTGTGGTCACTGTAAATAAGGCTAAAATGAACCATATAAGGATCACATTAAGTCAAGTTTAAACACTAACCCTTGGAAACTGAACTATAGAACTGGAGAATCCATCAGGGAGGGATGAACCCGCTGTGGTGAGAGAGCACAGTGGACTCTGTCTACTTTGGTTTAGGGGCACTTTGGTAACAATATCTGCAAGAGAGTGGCTCTGTATTTCTAAATACAGTCAAGGATATAAACCACTATCTCAATAGTTGTTTAAAAAGTGTCAATGTTATTTCTTTATTTCATGTAATCTTACGGGATTTCAGGCAGCATTTATTCTCAGCTCACAAGGTAGCAAGAGTTTCACTGACTTCACTGAATTGCCCAGATTTACCTAGTAGCATATGTTAGACTTCTGATTCATATTTGTGCTGACTAACTCCAATAGGAATCAGAGAACGATTAATTGCTAGGTTTATTTGGGAGGTTCAGTCATTGGAGTCAAAGAGATGATTCAGCCAAGAGATTCCCCAGGGCTTGAGCTGAGCAGACCCCAGTACCCTCAAGCAGCTGGGGGCTGCTGTCTCTAGAGAAAGACCCAGTTTCTGGCATTCCGGGCATGCTTGTTAATTCTGTTCTGCTAGGAAGGACTTCTCCTTCCATTGTAGGCCTGCAGCTTTCAGTGCAAGTCCCAATGGAGAGCAGATATAAACGGTGGGTACCCCAGCCAACATCCAGTGTCACTGTTGGCCCTCATCAGTGTCACAGCTGAGAGGACTCTTTGCATAATCCACTTTTCTTTCACCTCTGTCTGCAGGCTTAGCCATACTTTGTAAGATGAAACTAATGGAATATGCAGGATTAGTGCTGGTAGAACATGTTTATGGTTCTCTTTTTACAGAAAGCTTGGGGAAAGATGCCAGAAGTCTGCTGTTCTTTGGATTAAAAGTTGTATTTTCTTTTCATATAGATTATACCTGCTTGGATCTCAGAAAACATTATATATATGCATACATACATATGTACATGCAAACTCAAATCACATATAATATATATAATTTCTGCTTCATTTTACCTGAGAATTTTAGAGGGTTTCTGAATCTTATGTTCAGCAGTTAAACACCAGGAATAAAAATTTAAAGAAATGATGCTTAGGCTGGATTGGCAATGAAAAATAATGTCATACATAAAAGCACCAGACAAAGGCAGGCAGCTTGTTTTGGGGTGAACCCACTCCATTCAGGATGCCCATATCAGTCCATAGTTTGTCTTACAGTCCAAAGATGAGGACCATAAGTCAGTGATGGATTGGGCTCTCCCTGGTTGAACAACAGGTTGAAGCACAGCGCTTTGAAGCTATCTGCAACCACTGGACCACAAATTCAATTCCCCGGCCAGAGAGTGACCCACATGGCACAGCAGACCTTTTCTGTTCCCCGCTGCTCCCCTCAGCAGTGGATTTCGGTAGATCTGCTTGTCTGCTCCCCGCTCTGTCTCTGGCGAATCCTCTCGCTGCCTCTGCACTCCTGGTCTTACCCCAGGTCTATGTGCCTAACTAAATCTTAAAAAAAAAAAAAAAAAGAAGAAGAAGAAGAAAAATAAAAGGTCAATGACTGAGGAATAAAATGGAAAAAGCCACATGGCCCAGAATTCACCAGGTGTCCTTTTGGGCTCTTTTTTATGCAGTTGTTCTCATAAATCATCAACATGTTGGCACAACCACTACACTTTTCACTGTAAACTGTTACCCAGAGCCACACCTGAACTAAACTCTTGTCTTGAAAAAGGGGTGAGTAAAAATAATACTCCATCCTTACCCACAGGGTCACCCATGGATCTCATTGGTACGGAGTGTCCACAAACATTACTGTGACTACTCAGTGACTGTGTGTTTTGCTTAGGCTGAAGTGGGTGGCGACTCGGGACCTTTTCCTTAGTGTGTAGAGTGCTGTTGGGTGAGTAGTGAAACTAGGCCATTAAACAAAGGCCGCTTTCACATTAGCTTCAGTACCGGGAGCTTCCATCTGTGTTTTGTGTTGCACCTTCGTGTTTGAACCTGCTCTGATATAGGTCTCCCTATCAAGTAGCTTTCATTATTGTCGTATTAAATGACCTCACTTCAAGTGAGGTCAATCTGAACATCACATGAAGTTCTTTAACTTCATCCTTCAATTGCATTGTGATAGAAGACACTTGACTTGGTAAAAATTGCATGTTTGTATTTGTGGAAAAATGGAGACAGACAGAGGGCCAGCGCCAGACAAGCATGATCGAAAGGAGATTCCTTCCCTCCAAAGAATTTTTGTACCAGATAGAAACAAAGTGATTTCTCTCTGACTGTCCACAGCAACTAGAAGAGGTTTGTTCCATTAGCTTTAAACTTTGCAAAGCAAACATGTCCTGGGAAGACGGAAATTGTTGATCCGTGTTATACCTGGGGTGAGTCTTACTATACTGCTCTAAGTGTAAAAAGGCAGACACAAGGTGGCACAGCTTGTGATCCAGGGAGGCCAGAACCCAGAATCAACCCAAGAGCTGGAAGGCAGATGGGTGGCACAATGGGTTACAGTGCAGCAGTGAAGCTTGGCCGCAGTCGTTTCAGTGAGGAGTTCAATTCCCAGCCAGCGAGGTGACCCACATGGTGGCAGACCTCTCCTGACCCGCCCACTGCTCCCCTCAGCAGTGGACTTCACGATCTGCACGTTCTGCTCCCCGCTCTGTCTCTGGTGAAGCCTCTCACCGCCCCTGCCCTCTGGCCTGTACCCCAGTTCTGTATGCATAAATAAATCTTTAAAAATATTAAGTTTTATGTGAGTTGAATTTCAATTTTATATGATGTAAAACAATGAAGCTATTAAAAATAACAGGTATCATAAAATACCATGGTTAGGAGCAGATATCCCGAATTTTAGATCGAGAGACTCCTCCCATGCATTTGCTCACGAAGCCCCCTCATTCTCTGACTCAGTCCCCAGGGACAGCTGCTAGATGTCCCGTTGCCCTCCTTGGAGAGCACAGCCACCTGCAGTGTCTAGGTCATTTGCCACCTGTTGTATAGGATCTCCTAGTATTTGTCTTTCTCTTGTTCTCCACCCTCTTACTCCTCAAATTGACCTGATCCCTTCCAGGTCCATCCATGTTGTTGCAAATGGCAGGATTTCATCATTTTCTTGTAAGCAGGTAGTGGTCCTGGTGTACAGACTGTGTAAAGACTCTTCATTAAAAATCTCTTCAAGACTGCGCCTTGCAGATGCAGACAGGACTTTCACGGGTGCAGGAAGCATGCATCTCCTGTGAACCTGCCCTGCAAAGTATTGTCATTAGCTACCTAAAGGCTCAAATAAACACATGAAATGAAATCTGACTCTACTTAAAGAATTTCAGTACTGCTGACAGATGCACAGCTTGTTGGGGAAGAAAGGTAGACATTGTGATGACAATCTCTTGGGGAGGAAGAAAGGTTTGTCTCCTTCCATGGGGCTGGGATGACCTTTGAGAACAGCCAAGTGAACACCTTCAAGGAAGAGCCTATTGTTGATGTCTTCCTTTTGCTTCTTGTCTTCCCTCTGCAGGTCACCTATCTGGGGAAAGTCCCCACCACAGGCATGCAGTTTCTGTCAGGCTGCACAGAAAAGCCAGTCATTGAGCTCTGGAAGAAGCACACGCTAGCCCGAGAAGATGTCTTCCCAGCCAACGCCCTGCTGGAGATCCGACCCTTCCAAGTGTGGCTCCATCACCTCGACCACAAAGGTGAGGCCACGGTCCACATGGATACCTTCCAGGTGGCCCGCATCGCCTACTGCACCGCCGACCACAACGTGAGCCCCAACATCTTTGCCTGGGTCTACAGGGAGATCAACGATGACCTGTCCTACCAGATGGACTGCCACGCTGTGGAGTGTGAGAGCAAGCTGGAGGCCAAGAAGCTGGCACATGCCATGATGGAGGCCTTCAGGAAGACTTTCCACAGTATGAAGAGTGATGGCAGGATCCACAGGAACAGCTCGTCCGAAGAGGCTTCCCAGGAATTGGAATCTGATGACGGCTGAGTGAACTGAGGTGCTTCAGCCAAGGCAGCATTGGTCAAGGAATTTCGAGAGGCTAGTCGAAGAAGCAATGATTCAAATTAGGGATGAAAAGACTGCCAAACTGTTGGCCGACCCGGCTTTTTAAATTCAGAAGAGCAATTCTAAATCATAAGAGATGTATTATTAAAGTCATTATGTTACATTGAAATCTGCTGCTGCTGTGACTGTGAGGAAGGTGGGAATTCAGATGGGGAGAAAGTTCTAGAACCCTTCCCCCCCCCCTTCATTTCCTAACGCCTTCCCATTGGAGATCTCCATGCTGATGTTGGCCTCTCTCAGGCAAATGCACTGTGGCTGTTATTTGATGGACCATCCCAGTTTGCCTTATGAAACTCAGCAGGAAGGTGAGAAACACGACAGGATCTCAGATGGCAGGGGAGGTGGAGCGAGATGCTGAGTGACTCCGGTACTGAGGGGCCAGGGCACCACAGGCTGAGCAGAGAGCGCCTCTCCCAGACAGTTTTCAGACTCTCCCCTCGCGAGCAAATCAGCATAGTCTTTATTGAGATTCACAGCTAACCACCTGATAGTTGGCAGTTAACTCACAGCTAAGGCAATGCTTTTATTTACATAAATATATCAACTAGTACCCTCTTCTGTATGCACCATCGATGTTCTTAGGATACTTGAAACTACTAATAGCCCCTGCCCAACCTCCCATCCCTTTCTTCCTCCTCCTTTCAAACTATGTCAGCATCCCGCTGAGGTTGGCATCTGCACCTACACTGCAGGACATGAAAAGGGAAGAAAATAACCAGTCAGATGAAATAATCAGTCAAGCTAGCAGTTGAAAACCACCACCACAAAAGAAACCTTGGAAAAGGGAAGGAGTTCTCAGCGAGTGAACAGCTCCTTTTTCACCCCAGATTTACAGTAACGTGTTCGGCTGATGTCCTGTCTGAGGAAGCCTTCAATGGCGGCTGCCCCGGAGGCCATCCAGGAGGCCTGGCCCCATCCCTCCGTGTTGCACTTCGATAGTGAACGAGTTACACAAACTTGACTTGTCTGGAGAACCCACTTAGTCCAAGAGGAAACCTGACTTGCTACTTTAAAATTGGTGATAATTCAGAGTTGGAGATGCCAGATTGTTCAGTGAGAAGTCCATTCTCTAAAAAGCCTGCAATTTCTCAGTTCCACAGATTTCTAAATGTCCTAAATGCAGAGTCAACATTGAATGACATGTGTTAAAATATACACATTGAAGGCTGAGAGCAGATGAGTAGTTTTAGGAAATGCTGACCCTAAAAGTCTGCTTTGAATCCTGGCGATGTCAGGAACACTGGCACTCTTTACAAAAGCCTTAAACGAGAGCTAATCAAATCCAGAGAGCAACGGTGTTGTGTTTGGGTCTGTGTACCTGTGTGTTCGTGTATGTATCTGTGTCTGTATGTGTGCCCCATGCGTGGGTCCAGTTTTAAGGCATGTAGAATAAGCATGGAGTCAGAACGTGGAGAACACGCCTCTTGGAGATTGCTTGCTGCTTTACAACACATGTAAACTATTCTTTAGCATCAATGCATCCATTCTTTAATAAAAATATGTTTGCATTCATAAAGCTGAGGCGTTTCATATTTTCTCTGCCCTTCCTTTCTCGAAATCATAAAAATCCAGACAACCAAGTGGATCAGAGGGAATAAATAGGATCTAAAAATGGGCTCAAATGTGGCTATAAATAACCCATTTCTTGATGATGTTTTTAAAATAATTCTTGTTTTATTTTCTAATGCTTAATATACACTCACTTCCCCTTAACTGAGATGCTAATACATCAACAACTGAAATATTCTTCAATGGGATGGACTTATTTCAGAGGAGAGGCACCTGGAACAGTTTTGCAAAGGATTGCAATGTATAAAATCTCAGGTATGTTTTTGGAGAGACTGCACTGGAATGCAGGAAGGAAAACATGAGTGATCCTTCTGATAGGGCTGATTAAAAATGGCTCCTGCAGGCCATGATTTCTCAGAACAGTCCATTCATCAAGCAGGGCTGGTGGCCATGGGGTCTGCTTCACAAGCAATGTCCTTCATGGAGTCGGTGACCAATAAAAAATCATCTGAGGTGAAAATATGAGGACCTGCTGAGGAGCTGGACTCCTTGAGGAAGAATTACTACCTGACTCTGATTAGAAGGGCATTTTTTCCCATCAAACTTTTCTCAATTTCAGTTTCTCTCTATTTGTCCTTGAGCGAGCCTCTAAGGTGGGAGGCAAGAGAAGGAGAAAGAACGCAGCCAGCCTATATTTCAAGACAGCGTCATTTTCCTCTCTCAGTAAAACTTGGATCCCCAATGTACATGTGATTATTTATTGCAGAAAATATTTGCTGGTATTTTTCCTGGGCACCAAGGATGACATGCTAAATAATCGGTTCTGATAATGTTGGTGTGAACTTCTGCCTGAGTTGGTTGGTAGCCAATTTAAAGATAGTGCACAAGCACATCTTTCAAATAGCTAGTGAAGGTTTTTCAGACAGTCAGTCCTCATTCCCTTCAGAAGTGTGATTCAGATTTGCTTCATTCTTCTTTAAACTTTTCGTTCCCCCCTTTTGATGCCGTCTCTGCATACTGGTGGTCAGAGAACCCTTTGTGTATACATATCCATGGGCGGGTATGGGCAGCTATCGCAAAGGTCAGGAAACTGAGGTTCAGAGAGGTTATGTATCTTGACCAAGGCAGCACAGCATGGCGATGTGTGATGGAGACCAGAGCTCCGTTTTTCTGCTCCACGGTGGTTCTGTTTCGGCAAGGTCCACTTTTGGATTTTTCACTTCCATGCCTCTTAAAACCCTTTTAAATTAGCATACTAGACCATTATAAATAAACATTCTTTGCTATTCATTTTTTAAGTTTTTTTTTTTTTTTACAATGCCAGAAAGAATTTTAAAAGCAAACAAAAGCCTGAGACATTTCATTTGTTAAGGGAATTGGAGATTTTGTGTAAGTATTTTACTGGCTGTGGTCAGTGGACAAAATATTCTCTCAGTTTTTAAAAAATCAAGAGGCTTGTTTTGTGTTGTTTTTCTCGGGTCATGTTAAAAGTCCGGCCTAAGTGCTTGTATTAGCACTCGGGCGTCTGTGATCTCCCTCCATGCCATTCATGATAGTTTCCAGTGGTGTGTTTATTTGTGTAATTATGTACAGTTACATAAAGTTGGAGGCTGTGCAAGCCTTTGGGGTAGGAATATGTGTTTTCAAAGGGGATTGTGTCCTTTTTGTTCATTTTTGTGGTAGGATCTGCTTGCTCTGGGCACCTGGGGGCAAACACAGGAAGTAGGTGCTGGCAGGATGAGGAAGGGCTAAAGCCGGTGGATGGCGAAATCACGACACGAGTCTTTGCGTTACACGTTCTAGCTCCGAATCCTGGCCTGTTCATCCCTTACCTAGTTCCAGGAGGAATTTGTGGTGCTTATAGATAAAATGAATGTTAGAGCTGAGCTCTGGTTGACACAGCACGCTTTGCCCCGAGAAAGCAGACGGGCGAGGTATTCCAAGACACCTGCATTTAGTAGATCACAGTCGTCATCATTTATTTTTTTTATTTCTGTTGCTGAAAAAGGAGGGTGTGCTGAAAAAAAGTGTTTCTGTTTTTGGACACTGCAGAGTGTATGAATTTCATCGTTCTTACCCCAAGTTTACACTCAAAATTGGTTTTCCCACTTGTCTTGACAGCTTTTGTGCATTTTTCGTTTCCTCCTTCCATCCCTTCGGCCTTCTGCGCTGGCGCCTTCCTGCCTTCATGATTTAATTATTTGCGTGCGATTACTCTAGATTGTCTGACTTTTGCATATGGAATTTGAAATCACGTGGTTTGTGGTCCCTAAGCCACTGAGGCAAAACGCCCATATTCTGTCAGGTCCTCTGTCACTATTATTTTCCGGTCAGGTGATGTATGGTAACTCGTTAATTCTTCTTATGCTCTCCAAAAACGTGCTGTTAATCCTTGCACTGAGTGGACAGAAGACACTCATAGTTGTCAGCAGTGATGCTGAAATCCATATACCCATTGAGAAATGCTCCTGTATATGCCAAGATTCAATTTTTTTGGAGCAATTTTTTATTGTTGTTCAACTTCAGGACTTTGGCTTCCCTTCTGTAGAGATACTAGATGGTAATAGTCATCAGAAGAGAACTATGAATGGCAACTAAACCCAAGTTTAGAAAGAAAAACAAACTGAGTCAGGGATAGCAAAGAAGGAGGAAAAAAAGCCATTTTGAATATTTATAAATAAGCTCTTTGTTGAAAAGGAATCTAAGACACACTCTTCTACAGTAGAGCAAAACTGACTTCCAGAAAGAAATTTGTGGAAAATGTTTATTTTGGAATGTTCTAGCAAGCTTATCTTGAACTCCATGTACCTAAATGTGGCTATTCAGAAAGAACCTGGATAGTTTTGCTCACAAACTTTAGACTTTCACTAAAAAAAACATCCTCAAGTTCCTATTAAGTTTTCAATAACTTGTCTTAGATCTAAGCTACCCACACATGGCACTGATGTGGTCTACACTTGGAATTACTGAAGGATTACAGATTTTCAACCCCACAGTAGTAAATTGCCAGTAATTATCAAAATTTCATGTCTGTAACTTCCTTGAACTCTTAATAGAAAATGTTTGCATCCCTTTACCTAAACATACATACTAACTTGAGGTTGGATCATCTGATTATGAGACTTGTGAAATAGAACATGATGCTACATGGGACCTACTTTATTTCAAACCTATCATTATGTGGCCTTGGTCACCATTCCAGAACATTCTTTATCCTTTGAGGTAAAGTTTAAAAGAACATTTTAGGAAACACCCACTTACAAAGAAGAGCCAAGAGCTGACATTATTCCAAGGTCACTTTCAATGTAAATTTGGACTCATCCAAGACCCATTACAATTCTGAATTTAATTTTGTTCAGAAAGCAAAATCTAACAATAAATTTCATCATGTTCATAATTGTATTGTCTTCATGTAGCTGCTTTTATGGGTTTAAAAACATTTTAATTGGAGGGCTTAGGATAGAATTAGATCTTTAACTCAATCTTTTACCAAATTAATTTATTACTTTTTTCCACTTTAATTGCAACATATTTAGCCTAGAATTTAGTGCTGCACTTTTAGAAGTTAGCAAAACCTCATTCATTTAGATAAAACTAATTAGGAATTTGTGGATTTGGTCACATAAAGCTCAAGTTTTATGTTTATTTTTAATAAGCAAATAAATCGGATGAATAGCATTGTTATTGGCAATATCTGCCCACGTGGGAAACGCTACTTACATATATTAAAATAATAATTTACTAGAGGTAGTGTGATTTCAGCTTAAGAAATCAGTCCAGGGCCCTCCCTGGTGGTGCAAGAGGTTAAAGTGCAGCACTATGAAGCTATCCACAGCCACTGCAGCACGAGTTGGATCCCTGGCCAGGGAATGACCCACAAGGCTCAGCAGACCTCTCCTGTCTCCCCACTCTCCCCTCAGCAGTGTACTTCATCGATCTGCCTGTTCTGCTCCCCACTCTGTCTCTGGTGAAGCCTCTCACCACCCCTGCACCTCTGGCCTGTACCCCAGTTCTGTAAGCATAAATAAATAAATCTTAAAAAAAAGAAATGTGCCCAGCTGAAGCTGAAGCTTTGATGTGCCAGTTTCAAGGCATTCTTCATTTATTAAAGTAGTTTCTCCACTATACAGATGGTTAATGCAATGTTACAATTCAGAACTCTTGAATGTGAGAAAATGCCTCTTGTCCACAATACTCACTATTTACATGTATCTTCCCTTCAGTTAGCATAAGTGTTTGTCCTTACAACCCCCCAACCTAAAATGACTAACACTTCCTGCTTTTCATGAGAACATAGCTATTGAGATATGTGAATTGCAGTTGTTTTCTTATAAACTTTTTTATCATTTTTTCATTGCTACTGGGTTTTCCCCCAAAATTATCAAGACACTCAATTTTATTAAAGATCACCATTAAAAGCTCAATAACTTATAGTGGATTCTACAGCCAACCCCTCCCCCCCTCTTTTTTTGGGCTTTTGCTTAGCTCCCCAAGTTACTGCTGGTCAAGTTAAAATGTAGAGTCAGGCAAAGGGTCTCTGACCAGGACAAAAGTCAGTATGAAGATATCTATTGAAAACAGCTGGCAACATGATGGCCAGATTAGCATAACCAGTGGGACCACCTTGACAGGCAGTCAAGTATAAACAGAGATAGGGTCTTGTGATCAGCAGTGACAATGGGATCCCTAGCCAACATTCTCTACTAACTACCCCTAGCTTGTGCCAGGATACTGTGCACCCCCAATCCGCATCTCCCATATACAGACTATTACTCATCCCCCACCCACAACCCCCATGCACATTCCTCCAAGGACACACTCACCTTCCCCCAATCTGACCCCCATATCAATGTGACAGTGGCCCGGGAAACGGGCTGCATCTCCAGAAGAGTCGCTCTTGCTCAGTCTCTCTCTCCTTAGACTTTGAGTTGTCTTTCCTCCGTCCCATGCCTTTCCCAATGCCACCCACAGGGCCACAACTCATCATATACTAAGTCAGCG